AAATTTTAAAAATCGTACATAAAATAGATCCAAATTTCACGATAATCCGATTTCACGATAATCCGTGACAATAAATATGGTTTTGGTGATATTACTTACAGATTTGTAGAGACGAATTTTATGACTTATTCGGGTCAATCATGTTTTTAAGATCTTAAATTAGGTACAATACGTATCGTATCAATGTGACTACGCGACAAAATCCAGGAACGTAAACGTACACTCTAAATACAGTTTGTTGCACTCAGAGACTGCATGCACATGCATGTACTGTACATTATATTATCCAATCAAATACGTTCTTGTTATACAAGCATGACTACGTTCCTGGTAATACGCATGAAATCACGCCACTTTTGATGCTGATGCTCTATGCATGCAAATACGTATATTATTTTGTTTTATTTTGGTAATATTACGCAGAACATATATTACCATAGTAAGATCTTGAATCGCAAGTCCAGATAAATCTTTTTTTTTTTTTTTTTTGTAAATTGCGTGATTTTTTTGTTTTTTGCAAATTGCGTGATTTTTTTTTAATCGCGAATATAAGAATACAACCCATAGGAAGACTTTCGTATAATTGGCTGTTTAAATCAATTTAATTTTACATTATTTATACATTTTAAAGTACTTTTTGAAAAAAATAAAACTACAAAGAATAAACAAAAGTAAGTATATAGAAAGTTTTAGGGTTGTAGGATTCCAGTATTAAAAATAAACAAAATCATTTCTGGTTTTAGAAAAGTTAGCATAATAGCGACTTCTTAAAGATAGATAGAATTAGGTTATTACCATGCTAACTTCTCTAAAACTAGAAATGATTTTGATTATTTTTAATACTGGAGCGCCCAAACTATGTACGATTAGCATCACATATAATATGTCAATTATTAAATTACCGTGATAATTTTTGCTTTCATAATACTATTTTTGTAATGTAAACATTAAAAACGAATGTTCTAAATTATATTTATAATTACAAAGCATATTTATAAATCAGTGCTTTATTTAGGTATTTTAATTATATTTATTGCAAAACCAAATCTAAATTAAAATAAAATCCAATTCTGTAAATCTGCAAAGATGAAAAAACTTAGTTGAATTTAAAATTTATGCATTTATGCAGTTATAAAATTAATAAATTTTTAATAAAGTTAATATTAGAAATTTTTTTATAATTTTAGCATCTTCTTTTTACTAATTATTACGATGTTACGCTATATTTATGTTTACTTTCACCAAGAATTCATTTCATTACGCAGCATTTACGTTACTTCTATCAGGAATTCTCGATCCATCCAAATGCTACAATGAAGAATCAATCTATCTAAATCTACAATGAAGAATCAATCTATCTAAATTCTACAATTAAAAATTATATCGGAAAATAAGTTATAAAAGCATGAATTCCCTACAAATTTTAATTATCAAATATTTCACAATTAATATTTCGGTTTAATGTCTTTGAAAAACTTTTCCATATTTATTTTTTGGCTTTCACTCTTCTGTCCTCTTTATCAGAAGCTTTCACTTCGAGTTTTTTTAAGAAATCATTCATTCCAAGTTATTTTAAAAGAACTTATGAACCAGTAAAATGCAAACCTTACTTGCTTACTGCCACCCATGATAAAGTTATTAAAGGTCAGATGACGTTTTATCAAAGCTCTAATGGAAGCATCGTGGTGACAGGAACATATCAATATGGATTCAATAATCCATGTGATTGGTGTTATACTTGGTCAATTCAAAATCAATGTGGTGAAGTTGTTTATAATTTCACTGACCTTTATACTGAATATGCCACAAAAAGTGGTTGTGATGGTTATCCTCCTGATCATAAATGTAAAAAGAGAGTGTCGATTCTTATGAGAGGTGATAAACATGACAAGTGTTACATTGGAGAATGGGGAACAAAACCTTGGGTGCTTAGATTTAATAATTTAATTTGGGATTGTGATCATAAAGGTATTAAGCATAAAACATGTGAAGGTAAAAAGATTTATGATGAATGGGATGAAAAACACAAAGTTCCAAAACGGCTTAAAGATCAAGGTTCGCCAACTGGATTATTTCTTGTAATTAAAGGTTATAGTAAAAGTGGGAAACGTGTTTACGCTGATGATGATGTTGCCCCCGTGAATGATTATGAGGATTGACCATCCGCATAGTCCTAGTTGTTATTTTATTTATTTCATATATAATTTATTTTTTTCAATATTTTTTTTCTTTTGTCATAAATAACTAGTTTCACTATGCGATGTATTTGATGATTTAAATTTTTTTTTGCATAAATTTAAAACCATTTATGTTGTATTAATAAAATTTTCTATTTTTATTTAAATTGAAATATGAATCTGATATTCACTCAATAATTATAATAACAAATAATCCCACCTTTACCACGTGATTTTATAAAAATTTGAAATCATAAATGGAATTTTAAAGTCATGTTTTTAATATACCAAGAATGGCGTACAATGAAAAGTATGCTTTAATGCTACATGAAGTGGTGTATGCGATTCTAAGCATCATAATTATGCGTTAGTGCGATGGGTGGCACAAAATGCCATCCATCTTATTCAGTAATTTATGAATTAATATTACTAGAAAAACGGTGACGTTTGTGGGCTGGAGCTCTAATTATTAGGTCTTACACTTTAGAATTAAGATGGTATTTAAATTTCATAAATTGTTATATATCACTCATAAAATTGCATTTATAATAAATTTATAAAGAAAACAACTTAGGTTTTCCATTATTCTTTGTTGTAAACGTACATTAGCTAAATTGAAAAGATGGCCAGCAAATATTTAATGCCCGAAATGCCGTAGATCAGAAGGGTTGAATCGGATAAATAATCAATAATTTACTAAAAAAACGAGTGCACCCTTTTCTCTCTCCTGCACTCATATATGAACCCTTAATTTATTTACAAATGTAAACAGTTACAATTGGTTAATTGCAACATAGCGAGCTTTAAATCTGATTGGATAATATATTTGATGATAGTCAGGTACAAAAATGGTTTGTCAGTACTTGGCAAAAATGGATACACAGAAAATCCAAAAGTATACCTTTCGTTCTATAAACTGTCAAAGTAATTCAGTAATCCACAAAGTAATTTGGAAGTTAGATGAGATGTATGTTTGAACGTTTAAATTTAACTTATAGGTACTGTAACGAATTAAAATTTTATTTTTTATATTATTGTAAATAGTTTCTTTATTTTCTCTGTAAAATATCCGCATGTACATAGTTTATTAGTAATTCCCATCCATTCTGGTAACAATGCCCAATTTTAGTATATCTATTAATTTCTTTTGATTATTTCATAACTTGTACTAAAATGGTAATGATGAGTGGCTTAGTAGCATGGAAATCAGATGAATCACCAAAAAAACCGCGTATACGTGATTGTACAAAGACTATGCCTTAACAGTCACACGATTTGTCACATCCAAAATTTTATCATATGATTTTCATAAATTACACAAATCGACGAATTTACATTTTTGAAAATTTCACCTGACACCTTCGTTTAAACACACAAAGCTTCTTAAGACAAACCTGTAGCTGAAGTTTTTACGAATCAGAAAATATAAAAAATATAAAAAATAAGCTGTTCCGTGTAAAGTAATATGGCTTCGAAAGTATGCAATTATTTTGCTTTCTTTCGCTTGATCTTTCTCCAGTTTGCAAATACCTGGTATAAAAAGTAGATCATTAGATACACCGAAGTGAGAGCTTTCGCCAAAATGCATCTGTGAAGAGCTGGTGCATTATGAAAGTAATAATGAAAATCAGGAAAAACTGTTTCATGAATAAGTAGATCATATTAATTAGATGTTTTTTTTTTATATAATTTGCTTATTTATGTGTATTATAATTTTATATGTAGAGTTTTTGAAACAATGTCATACTGCATAGTGTGCAGTAGAACATGACCTTTAGACTTACAAACCAAATGAGTGCTGCCAAGGAAAAAGGACACCTTCGTTTTTTAATCAATTATTGATTCAATTATTGATTAAAAAACGGAGGTGCCCTTTTCTCTTGGCAGCACTCAAATGAAATGATTTGGAAAGATATCCAATATAAGTAGATTAATAAAGTTAGTATAGTGTTCTTGCATAGGGTCTCTGCAATTGCTTTTCCACCTTCAATTCCAAAGTGATCACGAAAATTTAAATTTAATGTAATTGCAAAGTGCTTTCGCTAGTATAAATTATATGCTACATAATAGCAAATTTTTATTTTATTATAGATTATAATTAAGTAAAGTAAAATTATATTCGATTAATTGTCGTGCAATAGTGCACTTATGGGGTCTTTTGGTCAGTTTCCACTTAGGTTTTTCACTCACTTGGCACTGGCGTATCGTACCAAGTCTTCCACCAATATTACTACGATGTTGACCACACAGTTTTTCCTTTTAGAACGTTTTTCCACTTAGCTAAAACTTTGTTATCTTTATTATTATTAGAGATCGCTAAATTTAAATACAAGATTATCTCCAGATATATTATTACCCAGGTTACACACATTATGCAATTCTACAATTAGACTTTAAATTACTTTTATGCATCTACTAATTCAACGATCACGCAATTCATGCAGATCCGAATCATGCTACTTATGCACCCTGATCCTAATCTGGCACCACGAAATCCCAGTCCCGATCGGGTGACCCATGATCGTACCTAACCCTAGCAATATCAATACAAAGGGTGTTGGTCATCACCATGACAGAAGCTAGATCCCCAGGTACTTCGTCCTCGAAGTTACAACAACTCATATCTATCCCACCAAGTTTCCTCACTTCAAACGACTACCAAATACTGCACTAACTAGGCCATCATTCCCAATCACATGGTCTAAATATATCATTTGAAAAATCCCTTCCTTCCAACATTTTCAAATACTATCGGGCTACGATTAAATCTTTGAATTTTGTTTTCACCAACACACAACACGTCCAGCTTTTTTGGATCATTACCACCTTTATCAAAACTTTCATTACTTTCAAATCTCAAGGTATTCATCACCTTAATTTTCGCATTGTCGATTTGCAATGCACCTTCAACTAAACTCGCATACACATTATTCACGACTTTTCCACTTGTTTTCACCCTTCGGCAGCTTACTCCATTTAACCTTACAAAATTATTCACATTACGTTTAGCCTTTAACATGCTATTTAATATTCATATGGTGCTTGGGTGACTCATAGATGCTTCTCCTAATCCAATGCATCATTTATTCTTATCATCACACTTGTGATCACGTGTTTCATTACCACAACTCATTTTTCCGAGGCTTTGACATTGAACAAATGCCTTTTGTTCATTTTTTCTATTTTCGATTTTACTTTCGTGGTAATCTCTTCCAGATTCATTCATTCTGCCATCTGCAGCTTCACCCCCATTATAATCAAACTCAGCCTCATTATCCTTCAATACGTTTACTACACATCTTACGTTCACAACATTATTGTCCATATTGGCAGATTTTTGGTGGTAAACGAATGCCTCCTGTTCATCCTTATCAACTCCAATTCCATGTTGATAACCGTGCTGCACGGGAAGTATTCCATCAAAATC